GGTCACTAGTTTCCTTTAATCTATAATAATTTTTTTTTTTTTTTTTGAGACGGAGTCTCGCTCTGTCGCCCAGGCTGGAGTGCAGTAGCGCGATCTCGGCTCACTGCAAGCTCCGCCTCCCGGGTTCACGCCATTCTCCTGCCTCAGCCTCCTGAATAGCTGGGACTACAGGTGCCCGCCACCGCGCCTGGCTAATTTTTTGTGTTTTTAGTAGAGACAGGGTTTCACCGTGGTCTCAATCTCCTGACCTTGTGATCCGCCCGCCTCAGCCTCCCAAAGTGCTGGGATTACAGGCGTGAGCCACCGCGCCCGGCTATAATAATTGTTTAGCTGTTCTTTGTGTTTCATGATTCTGCGATTATTGTCCTATTATTTTGTCAAATAACCCTCAATTTGGATTTGTCTCATTTGATTTAGATTATATATTTTTGGCAGAAAAAAGTGTAAAAATGTGTAATTGCAAGCATGTGATCACATCACACTGAAAAATTCATTTGCTGGTTGTGGTGGCTTATACCTGTAATCCCAGCACTTTGGGAGGTGAAGTGGGTGGATCGCTTGAGCTCAGGAGTTCAAGACTGGCCTGGGCAACATGGAGAAACCCCATCTCTACCAAAAATACAGTAATCAGCCAGGTGCGGTGGTGTGTGCCTGTGGTCCCAGCTACTTGGGAGGTTAAGGTGAGAGGATCGCTAGACCCCAGGAAGTTGCGGCTGCAGTGAGCCGAGATTGCACCACTGCACTCCAACCTGGGCCATAGAGTGACACTAGGTCACCCAGGCTGGATGCCGTGGCACAATCTCAGCTCACTGCAACCTCTACCTCCCAGGCTCAAGCAATTCTTCTGCCTGAACCCGGGAGGCGGAGCATCCTGCAGCCTGGCTTCCACCTCCAGTCCCTATACCCACAGTGTGGAGCCAAATATCTGGATTTGAAACTGGCTCTGCTGCCTACCAGCCTTGGGACCCTGGAAAGTCATTTAGCTTCTCTGTTTCTTCAACTGTGAATGGAAATAATAATAGTATCTCCCTCAAGGCATCATTGTAGGGATTGGTTCAATGTGGATAACGCCCTAACAGGAAATGTTCATGTGTTATCACCAAGTGAAGATGGCTATGGAGTTTGGCCTGGAGGCGGGGGTTGAGGGTGGCAGGTCAGAAGTCTTCCCAGATCATGCCCACAGAGAGAGGGGCAGCGGGCATTCTGGTAGAAGGGCCCACCCGACCCTTCAGGAGGCTTGGAGTTGTGTTCAGTGTTTGATGCGGGAGCCTCCTGGAAGACCTGGCTGCAGAGTGCCAGGACCTCCTGTCACCAGCTGCCCCGCCTTTTCCAGCTCTCCCCTCCTCCTCACATCCTCAGCCTTTCTCCTAAGGCACCCTAGGATCAGGAGGACCCTGTCCTCCAACCCTCTGTCCTCCATTCCCAGGCACCTGGCGGCCTCGCAGATCAATCGTGTTTGCGAGCTGGGGGGCTGAGGAGTTCGGGCTCATTGGCTCCACGGAATTCACAGAAGTGAGTGTCCCTACAGGGTAGGGGATCAAAAGGGGTTCCCGAGGCAGAACAGCGCGGGGCTGACGTCGCCCCTCGCACCCGCAGGAGTTTTTCAACAAGCTGCAGGAGCGCACTGTGGCCTACATCAATGTGGACATCGCGGTGTTTGGTATGGAGGTGGCGGGGAGGGAAAGGGGAGGGGACGGCCTGACGACGGGGTGGGTAAAAGAAGGGGCTGGGGCCCAAATAGTCTTTCTCCCCTCCTCCCACAGCCAACGCTACCCTTAGGGTGCAGGGGACGCCCCCTGTCCAGAGTGTCGTCTTCTCTGCAACCAAAGAGGTGGAAGGGGGCGGGCCGGGCGGGGCTGAACTGGCCGGGGCGGGGCAGTGCGGTGGGCTGGCCGTGTGCTGCACGGGTGGGCGGGACTGGGGAGTGGTACTCTCCAGATCTGCTGGGGCCAGACTGAGGCTGGGGCGAGCTTTTTAAGAAGGACTGGACTGTGGGTGGGCAGGAGACGGTGGAGGACCCGCCCTGTTGTTGGGGCTGGGGAGGGCCCCGCACCGAGACTAAATTCTCCTTCCGGCCAGATCCGCTCACCAGGCCCTGGCGACCTGAGCATCTACGACAACTGGATCCGGTACTTCAATCGCAGCAGCCCAGTGTACGGCCTGGTCCCCAGGTGAGCCCAGGGATAGAAGGGGGCCCGGAGCGAGGCGGTCCGGCCCAGCGCTCTTTATCCTGGCCCCCTTCCTTCCCGCAGCTTGGGTTCTCTGGGTGCTGGCAGCGACTATGCACCCTTCATTCACTTCCTGGGCATCTCCTCCATGGACATCGCCTACACCTATGACCGGGTGAGCAGGCGCCCCTCCGTCCCTGCCTCGGTACCTTGCTGCATGCGCCCCCTCCTCTCTTTGGAGCTGTTCTCGCACAGACTGAACCCTGCTCCTTTACTCACTGCTACCTCTGCCAAGTTTCTTAAAAATACACACACACACACACACACACACACACACGCGTGCGTGCGTTTTATATAGACGGAGTCTTGCTTTGTTGCCAGGCTGGTCTTGAACTCCTAAGCTCAGACCATCCTCCCACCTCAGCCTCCTAAAGTGCTGGGATTACATGTGTGAGCCTTGGTGCCAGGGCTCTGCCAAGTTTAACCTTTTCAAGCACCTCTTTATGCTCATCTGTTATTTTATCAAATGTAAGATACTACTGATTATAAGATGGGATTCAGGAAGGGAAAAAAACCCACTGCAAAAAACCCACCGCTTCCAACCAGTTGTAAGATGACATTGCCTGTAAGAAGCATTCTGTTTCCAAAGATCTTAAAATGTAACGGGGAAAAAGGTTAATCTCAGCATTGATTAACTCAGATCATTGGTGTGAGCGTTGGCATGAAGGTAAAGCAAGGGTTGCAGAGTGCCCAGCTGGCACTTCCCTGTTTGATGCTCCAAAAAGTACGTTCTCTACCTCACAGCCACAGCAATTCTCCGTAGCAGAGCTGGGATTTGAATCTCTCTGACTCCAAAGCCCCAGGTTCTTCTCCTTCCTGTGAAACTGGAAACTGGCACCAGACCCAGCTCTTCCACTAATTAGCTGTGTGATGTCAGCAGGTTAACCTCTCTGAGCCTCCGTTTCCTTTTCTATGGGAGTTCTAGAACCCACCTCACAGACATGGCCAAGATTCAATGGAGATATGCCCACATTTTGTAGCTCACTGGAGGTACACCTTCTCCCCCTTCCCATCCCAAGCCTGTCACCTCTGGGCTTTGTTCCCCCAGAGCAAGACTTCAGCCAGGATCTACCCCACCTACCACACAGCCTTTGACACCTTTGACTATGTGGACAAGTTTTTGGACCCAGGTGAGGAGGGAGACAAAGGGCATCCTGAGAACAGGACAGGAGAGGCTGAAGACTGAGTCCTGGCCTTGTGACCTTGCCGCAGGCTTCAGCAGCCATCAGGCTGTGGCCCGGACAGCGGGGAGTATTATTCTCCGGCTCAGTGACAGCTTCTTCCTGCCCCTCAAAGTCAGTGACTACAGTGAGACACTCCGCAGCTTCCTGCAGGCAGCCCAGCAAGACCTCGGGGCCCTGCTGGAGCAGCACAGCATCAGCCTGGGTATGCACAGCCTGACCCTGAGGCATGGGGAGCCCTGCACCCCCAGGACTAAGCCACTGCTTGTTCCTCACAGGGCCTCTGGTGACTGCAGTGGAGAAATTTGAGGCAGCAGCTGCAGCCTTGGGCCAACGTATATCAGCACTGCAGAAGGGCAGCCCCGAGTGAGCAAGGGCAGCGGGCAGGGGTTGGGAGAGCAGCATCCAGGGCAGGATACCAGGCTGGTAGCTGGGCTGCTGGCTCCAGGGTGACCGGCAGGTCCTGCCTCCACCAGTCCCCTGCAGGTCCGGATGCTCAATGACCAGTTGATGCTCTTGGAACGGACCTTTCTGAACCCTCGAGCCTTCCCAGAGGAACGCTACTACAGGTGAGTCTGTCCCAGAGTCCTGGGAGGTGCCGCCAGGTGGGGCCGGGCAATGGCCCCCGACCTGAGATGAGGTGCTCAGCTTCTCTGCCCTTTAGAGCGCAACCCAGCCCCTGAAGAAGGTGGGAATGTGAGGCTCAGGGAGGGAAGTTGCTTCAGGGTCCCTCTGGGAGCTAGGACTGGAACCTACATTTCCTCCCCCAACCGCCACTGCTGTAAGAGCCCCCGGCCTTCAGAGACAGGTGGAGAGGGGTGCTCTTCTGCCTAGCTGCGTACAGGAGCTAAGCCAGTTCTAGGTCCAGGTTTCTTTCCTGGCCCCTGACTGACCCTGATCCTGTCCCATTTCTCCTGTCAGCCATGTGCTCTGGGCAACTCGCACGGGCTCCGTAGCCACATTCCCGGGCCTATCCAATGCTTGCTCCAGGGCCAGGGACACAGCCTCTGGATCTGAAGCTTGGGCTGAGGTGCAGAGACAGCTCAGCATTGTGGTGACAGCCCTGGAGGGTGCGGCAGCCACCCTGAGGCCTGTGGCGGACCTCTGACCCCAGCCCTCTTCCTTCTGCCTGTGGCTGACCTCTGACCCCAGCCCTCTTTCTTAGGCCCTCCCTTTACCCCAACCCTCTCCTGCCTGCTCTCCTGAGATGTCCTGGTCTTCCCTGGTGCCAGGAGGGGGCACTACCACAGGACCCTCTCAAGCTTCTCAGGCAATAGCTTGAGGTCCGTGAGGGGAGTGGCAATCCCTAATGCAACTCACCCTCATCCTGGTGCTTAGGTGGCAGAGGGTGGGCAGCAGGGGACAGGGATGGGATGGCAGAACCACCAGCTGCTCTTGGTGGTGGGTAGGTGAAGATGGGATGCATAATGCCAACTTCAGATGCCAACTCAGATCATCAAGGCCAAAGACCAGTGGCGAAAGTGAGGCATGGGGTGCCTTAGGCCTTGCCTAGTCTGCGTTCCTCTCCCTACATGCTGTGTATCCTAACTCCCTACAACAGCCCCTCAAATAAATCACATCTAGTGACTGGTACCAACAAAACAAGTTCCTTTTATTATCTGGGAACCATAGAAAAAGAAACCTAAGTGCTCTGGCCCAGTCCTGGGGCTCTGGGAGGCTCACGCTCCCTCCTCAGGCTGGGGACCCAGGTCTGTCCGCACCCTCATCTTCCTCCTCTGCCATGACCACCTCCTCCAGGGTACGTCCTCGAAGTTTGCTCTCCACTAACACCTTGCACGTACCGGCAGGCGGTAGCCCTTCCTCCACATAGCGACCCCTCAGGAACACAACTCTCTCCTCTCCGTCCAAGGGCAGCCCATGGGCCTGGCACAGGTCCCGTGCTTCCCTGAGTCCATCTAGGGCCAGGAGGTTGACCATGAAGCCCAGAGGCAAGGTCTGGCCCTTGGGGGTGCTAAAGGCACGAGCGAGGCGGGCCAGGGCTTCCCGGCGGGCATGGCCCACATGGCACTGCACAGCGCAACTTGCCAGGTAGGGCAGGGTCTGGAGCAGGCGGAACAGGCGGGCAGCATTGCCCTCTCGGAAGGCAGCATCTACCGCTAAGGCCTTGCGGAGGGGCGGGCAGGTGCGCAGGGCAGCGGGCAGCTGTAGAACCTCACGCAGGGCTTCCACCGAGCCTGTGAGAGCGGGAAGCCAGAATGAGGACGCCTGGTCCTTACAGGATCAGGCCCATCTCCCCTCCCAACACCTTGTCCTTCCTCTCTTCTCGACCACGCCCCTTCTCTAGGCCTAGCCCAACTTCCCTTTCCCCTCTAAGGGCCAGCCTTTGGCTCCTTCCCTGACCCACATTTGAATGAATTGCCTCAGGCTCTTGACTTCCTGCAGTCCAGATCCTTACAGCACTGAAGTGGGCAGGGTTTCCGGATTTGGGAAGCGGGCCCAGATAATTTAATGATTCGCCTGAGAGTGTCCTAGGGTGGGTTTGTAGTTGAGCCTGACCCCAGTCCAAGTTTTCTGACTTGGATTTCCCACTACCCTGGCTTCCCTGCACCCATGGTTTTGGGAGCCAACTCTGCCCCACCTTCCCTTGAACACCTGGGAAGGCCCCTTCCTTCAGGAGACTCTGCCCCTGCTTCCCTTCCAGAAGAGTCTCAGACACTGGAACTCTGGGCCTCATTTGTAAACTAGGGCTTCTGACCAATTAGTAGGTTGTGAAGTCAACAGCATTCTGTTAAAATTGTATAGGACAGGGCCTTTTTTTTTTTGAGACGGATTTGCTTTGTCATCCAGGCTGCAGTATAGTGGCTCCCAGCTCACTGCAACCTCCACCACCTCCCAGGTTCAAGCGATTCTCCTGCATCAGCCTCCTGAGTAGCTGGGATTACAGGCATGCGCCACCACACCCAGCTAGTTTCTGCATTTTTAGTAGAGAGGGCCCAGCCAGAACAGAGCTTGTTTGGGCACAGTGGCTCATGCCTGTAATCCCAGCACTTTGGGAGGCCAAAGCGGTAGAATCACTTTAGCCCAGGAGTTTGAAACCAGCTTGGTCAACATGGCAAGACTCCAATCCCTACATAAAAATAAATTTTAAAAAATTAAAAGAAAATCATGGTCATACCTCTGCTACTGTTAACCAGTGTTGAGTCAACAGGCAAGTCACCTCACCACCCAGGGCTTCGATTTCTTCCCCCACTAGAGCAGGGATAATTACTATGCCTTCTTCGCAAGAGCAGTGTGGACAAAAATAAACAATTAACTGGGCATGATGGCAGGCACCCAGCTACTTGGGAGGGTGGGGCAGGAGGATCACTTGAGCCCAGGAATTCAAGTGGCAACATGCGAGACCCCATCGCTACAAAAAAAAATTTGTTTTAAGTTAGCCAGGTGTGATTGCACACATCTGTGGTCCCAGCTATTCAGAAGGCTGAGGCAGGAGGATCCCTTGAGCCCAAGAGGTTGAGGCTGCAGTGAACTATGATCAAGCCACTGCACTCCAGCCTGGGCAACAGAGTAAGACCCTGTCTCAAAAAACACATTCTACAAATAAGAAAACAGGCCATGTGCGGTGGCTCACGCCTGTAATCCCAGCACTTTGGGAGGCAGAGGTGAGCGGATCATTGGAGGTCAGGAGTTCGAGACCAGCATGGCCAACATGGTGTTGGCCTGTCTCTACTAAAAATCCAAAAATTAGCCAGGCGTGGTGGCGCACACCTGTAGTCCCAGCTCTTCAGGAGGCTGATGCAGGTGAATAGCCTGAACCTGGGAGGCAGAGGTTGCAGTGAGCCAAGATCATGCCACTGCACTCCAGCCTAGAGTCTGTCTCTAGACAGCTAGACTCTGTCTCAAAAACAAACAAAGTAACAAATAATAGAGTTTATTAGAATGCATCACCCATAGAAAGTATCTCTCATGCCTTAAACTTCTGTCTCAGGTATATTCGTGGGCATATGTGTTCTTGTTTGCTTTGTAACCCTGACTGGGCGGGGAGGTTAAAAAAAAGTTTGAAAATCTGCCGGGCGCGGTGGCTCACACCTGCAATCCCAGCACTTTGTGAGGCCAAGGTGGGCGGATCACGAGGTCAGAAGTTCGAGACCAGCCTGACCAACATGGTGAAACACCCCCTCTCTACTAAATACAAAAATTAGTCAGGTGTGGTGGCACGCCTCTGATCCCAGCTACTCAGAAGGCTGAGGCAGGAGAATCCCTTGAACCAGGGAGGTGGAGGTTGCAGTGAGCCAAGATCGCGCCACTGCACTCCAGCCTAGGCGACAGAGTCAGACTCAAAAAAAAAAAAAAAAAAGTTTTAAAATCACTGTTTAGGCCAACTCTCCCGTTCCACCCTTGCCCCTCCACTTTTATTCCTGAGACAACTAAGACCCCGAGATGGGCCCGAGGTCCCATGTCCGGGATTGGTGGATCTTGTGCTGTCCTGGGAGGCGCCTAATGGTGAGATGTTAAAGCTAATCTTTCTTTTCCCTACCTCTACTGTCATGGTGGGCTCCTGTCCCCACGCTCTGCCCAGCCGCCAGGACCCCGACTCACCCAGGTTATAGAGCAGAAAGAGGCCCTGGAAGGCTGGCTGGCGGGGGTGTGGTCCCGCGCCCCGCGCGTAGCAGCGCCGCAGCGAGCCGAAGCCCTCTT